CGTCCAGGTAGATGTCGGTTGTCAGAGAGAGATCAGTGTCATGAGCCGAGGAGAAGTTCGTCACACAGCGGGTGGGGATACCCAGACACCTCAACACTGACACACACACACACACACACACACACACACACACACACACACACACACACACACACACACACACACACACACACACACACACACACACTGTAGACCATTTCAGTGTGGCGCTGTCATTGGCTCGTGAATATTTCCTGCTGGTTATGAAAGTATTTCCTAACTGCAGCAGGAGGTGATGGAGTCCTCGCTACTGTTCAACAGCTCTCACCACCGCGCTGATCAGTGTGAGGCTCCATCTGGACTCTCAGAACCTACAGAAACTACACATGTTAAACAGGAAACGTGTTGGCACCATTGTTACACACACACACACACACACACACAGCGTGATAACTCCTCTGCTCGTCTGGATAGTGCTTCTCATGTTATAGATTTACTCATTTACATTTAGTCATTCAGCAGAGGCTTTTATCCAAAGCGACTTACAAATGAGGACAAGGAAGCAACTTACACAACTATAAGAGCAACAGTGAAGTGCTGTAGGCCAGTTTCAGGTGTGTAAAGTCTAAGAAGGAAAGTGTTAGTAATGTAAGTTTTGTTTTCTCTGTAGTACAGTTAGCGGAGGAGTCAGAGAGGCAACTGCAGATTAGGAAGTGGAGTGAAGACTGAACAGTTGAGTTTTAGTGGGTTCTGTAAGACAGCGAGTGACTCTGCCGTTCTGATGCAGTTAGCGAGTTCATTCCACCAACGGGGCAGATTGAGCGTGAGAGTTCGGGAAAGGGATTTCTTTCCTCTTTGGGATGGTCGTATGGTGGTTTTGGGGTCTCCAGCAGGCTGTGAGTAGCGGGAGAGGATCATCATGAGCTCCTCAGTGTGAACTAAGCTCTCCGCCGTCTACCGGTACGCAGGGCAGGCGTTCATGTAGAGTTGCAGCGCAGCGTTACGGTTAGTGTAAGATCAGCGGTGCAACACTGAAGCAGTCAGCCGTGTGTAAACCGTACTGTAGTGTCCCTTTCAGTCACAACCAGGCTACAATTCACTTACACACTGCTGGCGCAGCCGGCCTCAGAAACACAGGTGAATCAGTAAAGGAAGAGGCTCGGTTCCCGTATTAACCTGGCTTTGGACACAATATCTGAGAGATACAGCACAAGCACTGATCTATAATCAATACGTGATCACAAGAGCGATTACAACACTTATACCAACACGCTTAAACACAGTTTACACACTACAGAACTCCAGACAGCAGATATAATGACACTGACAGGATCTGATGTGGAGGAGGAGGAAGCTGC